CTTTTCTTGATAAATATATGGTGCTGATACATAAATCAGGAAGGGCCAAGACAGAGAAAGAAAATAGTAGACCAACACCCTAATGAATATAGATCCAAAAATTTGAATAAAATATTAGCAAAGAGATTACAGCAAATAACAATGAAGATAATACACTATGACAAGGTGGGATTTATATCAGGAATCTAGGGCTTTTATGGAGAATGGAAGAATTTATGATTGAACAAGATAAAGAGAACATTATAACATGCAAAAGGGATAGTTTTGATTACAATAAATTGAAAAGTTTTTGTACAAACAAAGCCAATGTAATCAAGATTAGAAGAGAGGCAAAAAGCTGGGAAACAATTATTACAACCAGTGTCTCTGAGAAAGGCCACATTTCTAAAATATATGGAGAAGTGAGTTAAATTTATAAGAATGCAAGTCATTCCCCAATTGATAAATGGTCAAAGAAAATGAACAGGGATTTTTCAGATGAAGAAATTAAAGCTATCTATAGTCACATGAAAAAATGCTCTAAATCACTATTGATTAGAGAAATGCAAATTAAAACAGCTCTGAAGTATCACATCTCACCTATCAGGGTAGCTAACATGACAAAACAGGAAAAGGATAAATGTGGGAGAAGATGTGGGGAAACTGGAACACTGATGCATTGCTGTTGGAGTTGTGAACTGATTCAACCATTGTGGAGGGCAATTTGGAGCTATGCCCAAAGGGCTATAAAAATGTGCATATCCTTTGACCCAGCAATAGCACTTCTAGGGCTGTATCCCAAAGAGATCATACAAATGGGAAAAGGACCCACATATACAAAAATATTTATAACAGTTCTTTGTGTGGTGGCTAAGAATTAGAAATTGAGGGGATGCCCATCAATTGGGGAATGACTGGGCAAGTTGTGGTATATGAACGTAATGGAATACTATTGTGTTGTAAGAAAGGATGAACAGGCAGACTTCAGAAAAACCTGGGAAGACTTACATGAACTGATGCTGAGTACGGTAAGCAGAACCAGGAGAACATTGTACAGAGTAACAGCCACATTGTTAGATGACTAACTTTGGTAGACTTAGCTCTTCTCAGCAATGTAAGGATCTAAGACATCTCTAAAAGACTCATGATGAAAAATGCTGTCCACATCCAGAAAAAGAACTATGGAGTCTGAATGCAGATCCATGCATATTATTTGTGCTCTCTCTCTCTCTCTTTTTCTTCTTTCTTGTGGTTTCTCCCATTGGTTTTAATTCTTCTTTGCAACATGACTAATGTGAAAATATATTTAATATGAATGTACATGTAGAGCCTATATCAAATTGCATATCATCTTGGGGAGTGGGGAGGTTAGGGAGGGAGCGAAAATTTAGAAGTCAAAATCTTATGTAAGTGAATGTTGAAAACTAAAAATTAGTTAATTAGTTTTTTAAAAGAATCCTGTGGCTAGATATATCATGAGCTTTGGGGCATTATCTAATTGCGATGCATTTCTACCAAAAGTGAGACAATTTGCCCCCCCAGTCTTTGCTTAGTCAAGATTTCACCATTTGTCAAGAGAAGATATATTAAAAGTGGATTGATTTGAAGATCTGTATAAAAACTAAATGCCACTTTATGTTTCCAGCCACTTTAATCCCATTTAAGTCATCATTCATTCATTCAACCCAAGCCAATCCATCCCCATCTGTTTATCTCTTTGTCTTCCCAGCATTTGCTGGAAATACAAAGGAACAAATTATTATTACCATTATTATTTCAAAATAAAAATGAACCAATTATATTTGTAAATAAGATGAATATTTGGCAACTACCATTACCCCGAAGGGCGAAATAACAGCAACAATTGAGGCAGTCATGGGGGAGAGGACAGAGAGCTGGCACAGGTATCAGAAAAGGATGAGGTCACTTTCTGCCCCTGACATAGACTGGCTCTGAGACTCCAGGCAAGTCATTTAATTTCTCATTGTTCCAGGCAACTCCAAGTCTGCTCATCGCAGGACAAGCTCTATAGGCTGAGAGAATTTCTTCACTAGGATTTCCTATAATAATGAAATCACAGATTTAGTTCATCCATTTTCCCCTTCTTCAATCTGAACAATATTACTGTTACAGAAAGGATACAAAAGATTAGTACATTCTCACTGAAGAGGAGGAAGAGAATTAGTATACAGTCTCTATCACATGAAATTGTGGAGACAACATGCAAACAATCATGAATGTATCAGACATATGCAGGATAAAATGGAAATAATCACAGTGAGAAGGCCTGAGATTGAAGGCATCAATGAAGATTAAATCACTGATTGAATTGATTTGTTTCCTTAAATTGGCTGAATGATCCTGAAAGCTTCTTTGAGGCTAATTATTCATTCGGTGACAGGTTTGGTTATCTTCACTGCACTGATCTATGGATGGAAGTATTTCATTCAAATCTTGGAAGCCTTCTACCTATATTGTGTCTTGCTCTTAACGTGGATTGGGGTCACACTCAGTAAACCATTTTGTCTGCCTCATCATGCTCTTAACTTACTAAGCTTGAAGTTCATTAAAATGACAGCAGCTAATATTATGATGGTGTTTAAAGATTTGGAAACTGTCACTTTATCTAATATACCAACTAGCTGTTCCCTAATAAAAACATGGTCAATAACTATTTACTAAGCAACTACCATGTACATTGGGGTATCTGGATGCCTCAGTGGATAAAGGGCTGGGTCTGGAGTCAGGAAGACCTGAGTACAAATTCAGCCTCACTTATTTGTGACCCAGGGCAAGTCATGTGACCACTTTTCACCTTAATCCATTGAGAAGGAAATAGCAAACTACTCCAGGATCCTTGTCAAGAAAACCTCATATACCATATGGTCTACAGGGCCACAAAGAAGTGGACGTAACTCAACAACAACCAGAAGAAGAACAACCACCACGTACCAGGCACTGTGCTAAGCAGTAGCAATACAAAAAGAACCAAAAGTCAACCCTGCCCTAAAGGAGTTCACAATATAATGGAAGTGACCCCCTCCCAACATTTTTTTTCTTTCTTGTGGTTTTTCCTTTTGGTTCTAATATTTCTTGACATAAATGATGTGGAAATATGTTTAATATAATTGTACATTATGGCCTATATCAGATTGCATGCCATCTTGGGGAGGGGCAGGGGAAAGAGTGGGAGAAAATTTAAAACTCAAAATCTTGTAAAGGTGAATGTTGAAAACTATGAATAAATAAATAAATAAATATTTCAGAAAAAATACATGCATTTCTGAATTTTGTTGACCGAAATATAACTTTCCAGAGCCACAGGTAACTCACTAAATATAAATGAGTGGCTGCTTGGCATCAGTAGAAGATTTTTCCACCATGAGTTCCTTATTTCATTGAAATCACATGCCAGAACAATGATTTGTCATTTTCCAATGAAGCCTGATTCTCTAAAAACACACACACACACACACACACAACCAGAACCCAAAGCCATGTCCCAGTATCATTAGTCTACAGTGACCTCACAGTAACACTGGCCTGGGGAAGTGGCCCCAAAGAGGTATTCATGACTTTCTTAACTCAGACTCCTCTTTCTGAGAGCGCATTGTGATTGATCTGTAAAGGTATCTGCACAGAAGGTTGAAACCTGCTGTATCCTTATGCATTTTCCCATCAAGTACAGACCAGAAAAGCCCTGTTCTCCTTCAACACAAAGCTTCAAACCATGCCCAGACCATCAGTGCAAAGGAGGACAAGATTCAATGAAAAAATCAGGCGCTGACAACTAGCAGAGCAGAAGGTAAGTGAGGCAATTCTGTGGCAAGTTGCAAGTTCACAGAAGGAGAAAACACAAAGTTCATCAAATCTTTGAAAAGTTAGAAGACAGATTTCAGAAACAAGTTCATGAAGCCAAAGCTAGAAAGTACCTAAGAGATCATCTCCTCTAATTCCTTCATTTAATCTTAATAGTTGTAATGTATGTGACCTTTTCAGCATTTTGTACATAATTTCTCATTTCATCTTCACAACAATCTAGGAGTTAGGCACTATTATTATCTCCATTTTATAGATGAGGAAACTGAGGCTGAGAAAGAGATAGTGCTATGATTAGGATAACATAAGCCCTAAGTATCCAAAGCAGAATTTGAACTCAGGTCTTCCTGACTCCAAGTCTAGCATTCTATCCGTTCACTATGCCTCTTCCTCTCCGATGAGGAAGCTAATGTCTAGGAAGGTGAAGTACTTGGTCAAAATCACCCAAGTAATGAGGATCAGAGACACATTTTGAGTCTGGGTCCTCTGATTTTTGAGTCAGCATGCTTCCCAAAGTGAACTCCTTAGAATAGACTTGGACCATCCATCCCTGATGCTCCTATTTGCTGTGACCCAGGGAAGAATCTTGGGTAGAAAACTATTTGGGGAATATAAATGACAAGAAAACTAGTTGCAATGCCCAATAACCCTAGTTGTGTCTATATAGCACACATGGACCCAGCCCATCTTATAAGTATCATTGATGACAAAGAAGAATCTGACGGGACAATCAATCCACCCTGATTAGTGCAGAATTCTGCAAACTGCATTCTCTAATGACTTGGGAGAGAAGCCTCATTCATTTCATTTTCTTAAGGGAAAGAAGTCACATATCTCCACTATTGCTCACCCTCACCTGTTGTTACAGCCTGCATTTATTCAGTATCTTTTGAGCAGCATGGTATCCTGGAAAGGGCACTGGTCTCACTATCAGAAAGGCCTCTCTGGCCAGACTCCCTTGTAGGTTCAGTTTCCTCTTCCGTAAAATATGTGTTATAATGAGCAGGCTCCCTGACCCACAGAAAGGCTCTCAAGTCTAGGCCAACATTGTCTACAGATTTTAAGGGTAGATAAAAAGATGAGAGAGATGCAAGGAGAGTCACAGACAAGAGGACAGGGAAAGTCCCTAGGAGCTGGGGACTGAATACCCAGGCTTGCTCAGCTATTTCCTAAGATGAAAGCCCAGGCACCTCTTCACTTACTGGTGTGGATTACAGGCCTTGTGTGGATGCTCAGCTCCTGTAAAATTCTTCACTGCCATCAAGAATAGGGGGAAAAATCCACTAACGACCAGGTCTCCATCTCTGTGAACTCATGGGCGGATTTGGTCAAAGCAGGGGTACTTTTCTTCCCAAGCTAAAGAAGAAGGTATGTTGAGGAGGAAAAAGAGGGATATCAGAAGGGACATTGGAGCCTGTGTCCTGAGCAGTGTACCCAACTTTGAGCCTGTGAGCAGACAGGGTGTCTACAGCCACTACCTGAGTCACATTTTAATGGGAAAGTCTTTTTTTGTCTGATGGATGCCTTCCCTGGACAGATTCCCAGACACTGGTCTGTTTCTGGCACAGGAGCAAACACAGCAGATGTCCAGCTCCTGTCCAGGAGCTGAGCTGCAGGAACCAGGTGCCATTTATAATCCTAGTAAAGATGGGAAGGGCTATGGTCCCTAGTTGGTGAAGGTGCATGTATCAAGAAGGAGCTCTAGGGAGCTTGACTGCCTGGGGTTCTGCACCTGCATCTCAGCCTCCAAGGGAAACCCAAAAGAAAAATATGTTTAGACATCATCTTCCTACTTCTCAGTAAATCCTCATGGTAATCAGGCAGCCTGTTGCCACAAGGACATTGGCTAACCTTTAGAAACTTGAGTGCAGCTGACATAGCAAAACTCCCAGGACTCAGAGAAGGGCATGAGTTGGATCAGAGGTGATCAGCCCCAATTCACTCTGAAGAGGGGAGAGTAAGCTGATGTCAGTGGGGCTGCCAGCCTCTTGCATCAGGCCCTAACATTCTATGAGTTGGGCAGCACTTGTTTTCCAACCTCAGGAACTGTAAAAACCCTTCTACAAGGCCTGTACATGAATATGCTGCTCACACTAGGCCCAAGCTCTCCCAACCTGCTGCGTTTGCAACATACTGACCTGAGTGGTGCTTGGTTGGCTTTGGCCATGCTGATAATTCTTTGGATCAATGTCCCTTTCTCTTATAGCATAGAAGATCATTGAGGTAATAGTCTTTCATTTGGGTCTTTTTATCCCCAGCACTTACGCCACTGTGTGGCATTAATAGACAATTGATTGACCTACTCTAGGCAGTTTTTCCTAGTCCCCAGTCCCAACTTTCCCACTGGTAGGGTCTTCCTCTCTTAAAGTCCCTTCAATCTAATTATCTACTCTGTATAGACTTGACATTGACCTCGTTGTTCACGTGTCCTTTATTAGAATGTGATCTCCTTAAAGGAAAGCATTGTGGTTGGGCTTTTCTTTACATGCCTTGGGCTTGGCTGGCACAGTGTAAGTACTATATTGGCACGTAGTAAGCTTGTACTTGTAGACTGTTTCATTTTTGCCCTTGTATCTCCAGTGGCTATCCCAGTGCCTGGCAGATTGAATGATTATTGGGTTGGACCCAGTGAGTGCTGAGTTACCTTTTAACTCTAAAATTATGTGATTCTGTGATTTCCAGGAGCCACAATATAGGAAGGATAGTGATAAGCTAAATTGTCCAGATGACAGCTGTGATGCCCAAGGACTCTGAGTTGTTTTCTCATGATAATCAACTGCCCGACATAGACATGCTGAGCCTGGAGAGGAGTTGGGTGGACATGGCCACTCAATACAAGTATTTGAAGGGCAATCACTGGAGAGGGATTCAGTTTAGTTTTCTTGAAAACAAACAGTTGTACTAGGACAAATGGATAGAAGGTGGACAGAAGCCAATGGAAATTTGATGGAAGGGAAGGAACCCTTAGTAACCATCATAATTATTCAAAATGGGTGTGGTCTGCTTCAGGTAGTAGTGGGTTCTTGCTCTTTGGAGCTGTCCCTGCAGATGCTGGACGAGCAGTATTGGGAAGAGTATAGAAGGAATTCTTGTCTTAGTCTAACTTTGACTAGATCATGTGTCCTAACTCTGAGAGATTCTGTAAAAACCAAGTCCTCAGCAAGATAAATTGTCTCTAGTCTCAGGTAGAATTCACAAATGAATCTGATTTACACACCCTTTCCAAGAAGTTTCCCCTTTTTCCCGCAGAGTAAATCTTACCATGGTCAAAAAGCTCTAAGTTTAGCAAAATCTCATAGGCAAAGAGACTTCAGAAGGCAACCACTTAGCTTTGAGTAACCACAACATAGCCTTTTGAATATGAAAGACAACCTTTGACCAGAAGGACACTCTGCAAAGGTCTCCAAAGAGTAAAATTTCACATCTATAAAATAGTAGCATTTCTTATAGAATGGTTTCTCAAACTTACAATGGGAGAAATAAGTATAACACCAACATAAAACAGCACCATAGATTTAAAACTTAGACCCAAAACAAAACATTTTACTAATCCAATGATATAAATCCAGTAGAATGCATTTCTTAATTTATCTTATGTAGAAAAGTCATTTTATCTACCAATTTTTGCATTCCATTGAGAGACCAGTATAAAGTAATGAAAAAGAAGACTTTTACTCTTTCTACTTTTATTTTTTTTAGCGTTAACTTTCTGAGGATGAAAGAGAATTTCTACAAGCTAACCACAAATTTTCAGACTTGGAAGTCTTCCTATTGTCCTGTCATCTGAATGAAATTGAAAGCTTCCTCAAACCTTTCTATAATATTCTCCTAAATCTTAGGCTTTCATTTTGGTCTATTCTAGATATATATGTATATGTATATGTAGATATATGTAGATATATATGTATAAATGACAACAATCAGAGCATTATTTTTCCAATTGAATTAAGATGGCTAGTTCTATATTCTTTCTTTGATCAAGATTGAAATTTCCAAAGTGTATAGACATTTTGTCATCTGTAAAGTAAAACTTTACCAATTCTATTTCTGAAGAGCTTACAAATTCATAGTCTATTCCAATTCCTTGGGATGACTTTGCTTCTAATTCAACTAGGCAATTAAGTTCTAAATCATTCACAACAAACACACCTAGGTGGATAATAAGCTTCAGGCTTCAGACTCAGCTTCCTGTTTGGAAGATAGAATTTTTATACTTGTTTCACTTTTATTTAACAACTAAGTATTTTCTGTCTCTCTCCAGGGAAGAGAGTATGCTATTTCTGTGAAAATTTCACAATCCTAGGTAACTGTAACCCTTAAAACCTTCTAGGATATTGCATTATGTTAAAAAAAAAATCCTCTTATCTGTCTATTTGCCTTCCTAACTTGGCCAGAATTGGGAATTAAAAGATATTCTTGTTCAGTAGTGTCAGGCTCTTTGTGAGTCCCCATCTGGGGTTTCCTTTGCACAGAAAAGTGGAGTGATTTGCCGTTTCTTGTTCAGCTCATTTTACAGAGAGAAAACTGAAGCAAACAGGGCTAAATTACTTGGCCAGGCTCACACTGCTCCTAAGTGACTGAGACCTAATCTGAACTCATGTCTTCCTTACTTGAGGCCTATTGCCCTATCTAATACACCACCTCACTGCTCCCTAATAAAAAATATAGTCAATAACTATTTATTAAGCAGCTACCACACATATTGGGGCATCTGAATGCCTCAGTGGATAGAATGCTGGGTCTAGAATCAGGAAGACTTGAGTTCAAATCCAGCCTCACTTACTATGTGACCCAGGGCAAGTCACATAACCACTTTTTGCCTTAATCCATTGAGAAGGAAATTGCAAACTACTCCAGTATCCTTTCCAAGAAAACCTCATATACCATACGGTCCATAGGGCCACAAAGAGTTAGACATAACTCAACAACGACCACCATGTCCCAGGCATTGTGCTAAGCAGTGGTGATACAAAAAGAACCAAAAGTCAGCCCTGCCCTCAAGGAGTTCACAATATAATGGAAGAGCTCACAGCTTTGAAATTTTTGATAGAAAAATTCCCCCTCTTTCCTGCTTGTTTGTTTTAATTCATTTTCTTCCCAAAGGTTTGATCAAAAGGTCAGTAGAAATCCCTGTTTATTGGGAAGGAGAGTTTAGTGCGAGAATTGGTAGTTTAACTCTTTGGAATTTATAAGAGGTACCATTTAGTGGCCAAGATTGTCAGTCATTTAGATGGATCAACAAATACAGACTTAGACAAACTGTTCCTTCCTGAGAATTGAAGGTAATTGGGTCAGAATTGTACTTGGCAGTTACAAGAAATAGGGATTGTGGGCATGTCAATAGATATGATGGATGGCTTTAGGCTGCAGAACATTGGCTCCCAGGTCCCTGAGAAATAGGGGGAGCGCCAACAAATCTAAACAGTTATTTATTAATATGAAAATCATAAATCCCTCAGTAAACACCTGGTGCTGGTCCAAGCAATACATGTTGCTGGAGGATAAGATCATACAGGGTGCAAAGGACTGCCGCTATGCCAAGCTCAGGGCACAGCATGTTTGCTGGGTCTTAGCTCTGGGAAATAGGGTGTTTCTAAATACCTTGACAACATCTAGGGCCTTTCTGAATGCTCATTGAGTTGACCTAAGAACTGTTAACAGACAGGGGTTCAGAGGGATCTGAGAAGTCATGTGTGACCTGAGGTAGGGGGACCATGAACAGCACCAGGAGCACAATTTCTGTTCAGATGATAGCACATTAAAAAACAATAGCTGGGGGAGCCTTCAGGGCTCTGCTCCAGGTCTGTCCAGACAAGATTCAGGGTGAAGACTTTTCCTGGGGGGAACTTCAGTTGCTGCATGGGAGAGCTTGGCCACAACAAACAAAGAAGAGGGGGGAAAGTGTGTGTGTGTGTGTGTGTGTGTACGATACCAGGCAGCCATTAAGAAAGCAAAAATATAATCCCTTGGTAATAGAGACTAGTGAGTGAAGTGGTCACCCTTGTTAGACAGCTATAATGAGGGAGAACTTAAAAACAAACAGGGGAGGGCAGCATGGGGGGGAGCAGTGCTCAATATATCAAGGACCCAATGAATCAGTTTAAAACATGGAAAAGAGCAGGGTAGTGTTGTTACCACTGCATTCAATTTCATGCCTATTTTTGTACAGAAATGATCCCTAAAGCAGGCACTGCCAGTTTCATAGACCATCCTCTATGTCTATGGAAATGACTGGATTGCTGATGTTGGCCAAGTCTGTGGATAGACTGCACTCACCTGGGCTGGGGCTCGGCTGCTCCCAGGAGCCATTCTCTCTCAATCCAGGCTCCCTGTGTAGGTAGCAAAGTAACCAAAGTGACTCCATTTTGTAAAGTCCCTTCATCTTATCCCTGGACCTTATCTACCCCAGGCATCTGCTTCCCCCACCCTTTATGGCCCCACCAATAGAGCAGCAGCCAACACTCTCACTAACCGATGTCCCAAGTAATCATGGGATGTTCTAATTCTATGCCTTTCTGATGACCATGAGACAGCCTGGAGCCACCTGGAAAGTCCTTTCCTTCTTTCCTTCTGCACAGAAAGCCCATCTGCCCCACCTGTAATCTTAATGCTAGGCTGACTGCCTTGGTGCTCATACTCTGGGCGTTTGCTGTTTGTTGGGCGTCGTAATAAAACTTCTAACTTCCCTCCAGCTTTAGTGTCTGGATTTGACCCAATACCTTCTTGGGGTAGGTTTTGTTCCTCTGCAGACTGAGCTGGGGAGGGAGATGGATCCCAGAGAAGAGCTCTTTCTCCTCTCTTCATAGGCAGGAGGCTGCCCAACTGGAATTTACAGAGGGCAAGGTCCCATAGGAGTTAGGAAGACCCAGGCCTTGCCCTCAGGGAAAGGACTCCAACCTGTAGAGGGAGGGAAGCAGCAGAGAGGGTCAGGGTAGGAAATGAAGCCAATCTCAAAAGGAAAACTACTTCCCTCCTCTTACTTCTCTTCTGCACCCCTCTTTTCCCCCATCCTCCTACAGAGCCCTCAGAGGAAGATGAAGCTTGGGATCCCAGACAGGATGAGACCAGTCAGAGTCTCAATGACCCCTGAGACAGAGCTCTCCCTGGAACTGATCCTCTGCTCTCCCTGCATCCCCTCTCCTTAATTAACACACATTATTTAAACAATAGACTGACTGCTAGATCTAGCAGGGAGGGAGGTTAGGGAAGGCTGAGGAAGGGGAGGGCTCTGGAATGGAGCAGCCAAGGAAAGCCTGAGACTGGGAGACAAAACCCAGGCTGGGATTCAGCAGCCTGTGTGGGACCTGAGAGCTCTTAAAGATGTGGGGCTGGGGGAGCAGGAGGCCTGGGGCAGGGGAGCAGGGGTGGGATCTGGGAGGCAGGACAGTCTAACCCTGACCCTAAATGCCTCCGACTTTAACCCTAAATGCTCATGACAGGGAGGTCAGGGACACTTGATTGGAAGAAGTGTTCCAAATGGACATTAAGCTTGGGCAGGTAAGGATGACTGTGTCCTGAGGTCTAGCTAGGATCTGGGGAGGATGCCTAGGACCCTCTGGTACAGCTTAGGCTTGGAATCCCTCCAGGGAGCCAAATGGCTGGGATCTGATAGGGAACCAGCCCAAGAGGCACAGATTCAGACAAGGGGGATCAGGAAAGAGCTTTGGTTCCTGCCTCCAAGGTGGGGCTTGAGGCAGGAGGTAGGACTTGTGGATACTTACAGGGACTGGGAGTGAAGGCAGGATTCTTATGGGAAAAATCTGAAATTTGGGAAAGTGTGACCCAATGAGAAATCTTGGGCGGGGGGGTGGGGGGGGGAAGGTCAGCCAGGATGTTTAGGAAGTGATTGGGAGTCTGGAAAAGTTTTAGGGGCAGGGAGCTGGTCCGGTAGCCAGGCCTGGGAGGCATGCTTCTGGCAGACCTGGGGAATGAGACCCAATGGCAAGGACAGCAAATAAAGGTCAGGATGTAAGTGGGAACACTGGCTCAGACCTACCTGGGATCTGCATGCACAGAGTGGGCTTCTGGAAGGCAGAGCGATCTTAGGTCCCAGGGAAGGCAGAGAGAACTCAGGTCAAAAGGAAAAAGGAGAGAATCTGAGCTCCAGGGAAGGCAGAGCAGTCTCAGCTCAAAGACTTCCTGTTTCCCACCAGCCCACTCTGATCCTACTAGTCCCAAGGACACCACCCGGTCCAACCCTTGAGGCCCCCAGGATGGCTGAGCCCTTTCCTCCAATCACACCCAGGGCCAGAACTCAAGGACCCTGACTGCCTCTCCTTCCCAAGCCCACCCCTCCATCACGTGGAAAGCCTTCTCCAATGCAATGATCCCCTCTTCCCCCAAACTCCTCCCAGCCTCCAAACTCCACCCCAGTGCTCCAGCTCCACCTGGGCCACCACCCACCAGGCTGGTCATCTCTGAGAGCTCCTCCCCCCCCAGTGCCTCCCCCACCTCCCTCCCTCCCAGACTCACCCCCTCCTCCTTCTGAGCAGAAACACTGCCTTGATCCAACTGCAGCCCCAGACTAAGTGAAAGTGATGGACTCTACACTTTGAGGAGCTGGTAGCAAATGGCTCTCAGGAAAATTAGGATCTATATACCATTTGCAACTGTAAATCCAGATTGGATCAGACTGAGTTTCTCCCAGTGAGAAATCCAGTTCTCCCTTTGTAATTGTGATGTTTGACCCTCTGCAAAAATATCAGACCTTAAGGGTAAATACACTTAAAATTCAGCATTGAGGCAATGTGATGAGGAACTGTAAGAATAAGAATTGAAGGTAATTGGGTCAGAATTACTCAATTCTACTCTGAATGCAGTCTAGAGTGTCAAATTGAGAGTTGAATGAAGTGAATTTTTTATGTAAGATAATTCACAAATGAACTGAATTGATGTCATTTAGCAATTTTTCATGTTTTAAATCTATAACATTGTTTATGTTATTATGCTTCTGATTTTTCTCCTGTTGGAATGTTTGGGAAACCATTGCATAAAATGCTGTAATTTGAAAAATAATTTCTAGAGGGTGATACAATTGTATTCTTGGAAATTTATCTCCTCAGCAGTTTGAAACTATGCCCAAAGGGCTATAAAATTGTTCATACCCCTTGATCCCGCAATACCACTACTAGGTCTGTATCCCAAAGAGATCATAAAAATGGAGAAAAGACCCACATGTACAAAAATATTCATAACTGCTCTTCTTGTGGTGGTAAAGAATTGGAAATTTAGGGGATACCCATCAGTTGGGGAATGGCTGAACAAGTTGTGTGTTAGAAACACGCTTGACACCTAAAATTTAGTATCAAGAAAGTTTATCACAGAGAAAGTCCAGAGGATTAGACCTTTCTGGCCAGAAGCAGGCTCCACCCCTCTTAGGGAGGGATAGGCCCTGAGCACAAGGGCAAGCATGCTTTTATACATTCAAATTTGGCGTGAAACCTCCCAGGCCCGGATTGGTCCATTCCTTCCCGGGTTACACCCCTCCTTACATATTTCCCCTTGATATGCTCAAGTATGTTCCCCCTCCCGAGGTCATACATCCCATGACTCGTTAATGAGGCTCTCATTTTATGCGGGGTGTGGCAGATAATAGTAATGAAGTTCATTAAGCAGGCGCACTAACATTTTTCAGGTGTCCTCAGGTTGACCCTAACTGGTCTGAGCTGGCTCGACCCTTATCTTGAATTTGGAGTCTTTTTAGAGCCATCAACTTACTTCTTATTGCTTGAGCCCTCACCCACCTACAGTGTACTGCTTCCTGGAATAGTTCTTTGAATCTCTGCATTATTCTCCTTCTCTATGGAAATATGACTCTCACAATTCCCTCCTCTTTTTCTCAATAAGAATTATATTTCCACACTTTTTGTTCTTTCCTCAAAGCGTTTTACCATTAGTTCGAATTCTTCATCAGAGGGGGAGGAATGGTCATTAACTGGCTCAATCATCATCCTAACTCCTGTTACCTGAATTCCCAGAACCGGTGCCACTGAGGTACTTTTCAATGGAATTTTGGGGACTTAATATGGGAGAAGGAAGGGAAGAGTTGACTGACTCACTGACAAAGTAAAAAGGGGCCAGTTCCCTTATTAAGTGCAGATACAGAGACCCAAAAGGAACCATAAATTGTCCATTTAAAGCTTCAGAAGTCTCTTCTCATACAGCTGACACTCTGGACATCATCTGGTGAAGTCTTCTTTTTTGTCTAAGTGCTGTTCAAACAGTGTCCAGCAGACTCTCCTCCTGCAGAGATCCTCCTTGTGTCCACTCTCCTACAAGATTGATCTCAACACTATTTTAAATTACCTTGCTAATAACCAAGGCAAATAATGAAAATCAACTCAACCCCTATGTCTTCACCATTACAAGATCAAAATGGAAACTTTGTCCAATTGTCATGTTTCAAAAAACTCAAATTAAAAAAAATTAGAACCTAGCCTTACACTCTGCATTACTTCGAGTTTTATACCTTGCATTAGTTGACTATTCATTCCTATTTATATTCCCCATCAGGAAGATGAGATTCCATTAAGGAATTAGTAACAGACTCCAATCCATAGTAGTTAATTTAAAACCACTGCATATCAAATAACAAAACACTCCCAACTTCTAGTCATGTACAAATAAAAAATCCTTAATTAAAATAGATGCTTTTTTCAAGGCATTTACAAGATAAGCCATAAGTTATTCCTCTTTAACATTAATTGTAACAAACTGAGACAACTTTAACATTAACTAAGCATTAACTAAGTCACAGAATAATATCCTAGTTCCACAGTGTCCTGGTCTAATTATCCCCTAATGATAGGGGATGGGTCCAAGCCGAGACCCTCACCCCTTTCCCCAGAAAGAATCTGGCTCCCATCAGTCCATGGGCCCCAACTCCGCATCTTCCTTTGAAAGCCCTAGCCCCACCCCTGGTCACCCAAAGTTTCTTCAGTGTATGCAAGATCCACCCTGGCTCCGATTCAAACGCTGAGACTTTCTCATGCCTGCTTGTCCTTATGGGAGTCACCTGGCCTATATGGTTTATCTGCAACAAACTTTCCCCCTGACTGAAAGACCTGGGCTGAACTCCTTCTGGAGGAACCCTTGTGCTGTGACCTTGGAGTTCCAGTGCCTCCAAACCTCCAGACCTCATCATAACCATTATGAGAAATTAAAGGATCCTGACTTATACAGGAATATACTAGTAACAGATGTCAAGACTGAATACTACTCTGAAATTCCAGGCCAAATAACTCAAACTTATACCTGCATCTTACTATAATAACCTCAGATGTTCCGGCATCAACCTATTGTTTAATAGATTCGATATTTATGCTGACAAACTTATGATTGGAGGAATTTGCCATGAAAGAACATAACTAAAGTAAGGGAACAATGCTTCCCTAGAAGGGAAGTCCTAGTTCATGTCAACTCCAGGCAGAAGTTACATATATATGACCAACTGCATTGAGCCAGGTTTAAAGTCTGCCAGGTGTCATAGTGGGGAAATTGAGTCAGGAGAATCCTACCTCAACCAATGCAGAAAAGTCATTCTCCCGACCTTCCCATTGATGCGGTCTAGAGATTAGGGGTTCTGGCACCCCAAAATCACGATACCTGGGTCCTGCCTGAAAGAATTTGACCCAAGCCTTCTTGCAGCCAAAAACAAGGTTTATTGAAGATTCGCCATATTAGCCAGACTCTTAAGGAGTCTGAGCATCTATGGGCTATTGGCTAGATTGTGAAAATCTGAGCATCTAAATGGAGACAAGATGGACCTTATATACAGAAAGACTGTGGGAGAGTGGCCAAGTAGTCCATGAGGTAATAGAATTCCCAAGGGTGGGAAATGGAGCCTAGGTGGGACCAAGGGTGGGAAGTGGTCTGGGGCCATAGGGAGGCACCAGTTGATGGGACTATAGCCTCAGGGGAACGCCAGAGATTTGGCCATGTGGGAAAGTCCAGGGTTTTTCCTTTCTGGGGCTCAGATTCCAACCCCATCACCATGAGAACACCTTCTTGCAGCTCATAGATGCAGCTCACAAACCTCTTTGCAAGTTGCTGACGTCATGGGTTAGTAGCTCAATCAGTTCCTTGTTAACCATCCCTGGAGTTAAACTCAGAGCAACAGTTCGTTAACAGTTTCCAAGGTCTTCGATAGCAAATTCCCCTCAACAGAGCTTCAGGTGTGACTATAATTTCACATTAATTAGGGAACATCTCCAAAGTGAGCTCTAAGTAGTTTGCATAACTTCCTACACGTATTCTGGTTCCTAATAACATCCTGAGTAAAATCAAATTTCGTGAACGTAAGAATGCTCTTGATCAGCTTTAGCTGTCGACAGAGGAAGGGGCATTCTTAGCTCACTCAGGAAGAAAGATCAGTTCAGGTTTTTGGCCCTTATTGGGGCTCAATTGATCTTAAATGATTATCACCATAAAGTTCCTAGTTACTTAATTTCTTTAGTCCAGAGGTGTCTGCAGTGGGCCACTTAATCAGTAAGAGTTCCATCTCACAAAACTCCTGCACAGGATTGATAAGAATTGAGATTCTACAAATCTCTTTCTTTGCATAATTACATAGTTTCTTTACACACAAAAATACTTCTACCAGTACTTCACTTAAACAATAACTCCAAATAGCTTAGTTAACAATTTTAAACTTCACAAGTGAGAGTCAAATAATCCCAGCTAAAACTTTCCCTTTAAACATAGACAAAACTTTGAAGTTCTCATTTCTTAAATTACAGTACTTAAAAGGAAATGTTACAAAATGGGTTCATATAGAATACCCCAACAGCCCCACTCATTCCTTTTTCTCTTTTCTCTGAAGGCACAATTCTTAATCTAACATTCCAGATCATAAAATAAATTGCCCTTCCAATCAACATAACTAACACAATTGCTTACCAGGTTACGTATATAAGAAAATTCAGAACTATGTAAGCAGTATATTAAAAACTTGAAACAGACCCAATAAAAATCTTTCTTTCTTTCTGGACCCCTTCACTAGGTCCAACAGCCTGCAGGGTCCACTCCCACCCCTATAGACTGGCTCTTTTTTTTTTCTTAATTATCTAAGCAAGCCCACCATTGTCTTTTTACTGGTCTGATAGCCTTGGGCCACATCCAGATTTTAGCTCAATGACACTCCAAATCAGGCTTGCCAGTCCCCGCCTTAAGAGCCTAGCCCTTATGGCCCACCCTCAACAAACCCAGTCTTTAGCCTAAAGAAGGCCTGGGTTAAAAAAATTTTTTTTTGTAATTTTCTAATTGAGGCCCTGATATATGAGAATATTCCATTACTTCCAAATCAATACACATCAATAAGTTTTTCACAATAACATATATTTATACCACAGGGCATACATTATAGAATTATTTCCACAATTATAATAAACTTTGAAACAACCCATTATCAATTTATTTGAATGCACTCCTAAATCACTTTGCACAGAGAATCATTCATCTCATCATTAATATGTTGAGACTATAACTTTAAACCACCATATTTTTATAATAGTCAAGATTTTAAATGAAAATCTGCTTTCAGTCTTAGAACCAAAAATACCTCACTAGGTATTTAACAGTTTCAAATTATCTCATCTTGTCACTAAAGATAAAGAGACATCTCCACTCTTTATCACTAAAGACCGATTCCAGGTCAAGAGTTACTTTAACACCATTTCTACCTCACAATGGTCCCTCAGATTTTACAATCTAAGAATTTTAGAAGTACAATACAATTTAGAAATACAGTAATAACTTAAACAATAAACTTCAGATAACATCAATTGCATTTCCATGTTATCACATACAGAAATTATCACTCTCACTCTTAGCCCTTTTTTTTTTTTTTTTTTGGTGAGGCAATCAGGGTCAAGTGACTTGCCCAAGGTCACACAGCTAGTATGTGTCAAGTGTTTGGTCTGAGGCCAGATTTGAACTCAGGTCCTCCTGACTTCAGGGCCAGTGCTTTATCCACTGTGCCACCTAGCTGCCCCTTAACTCTTAGCACTTTTAACAATTACATCAAATCATAAATAATCCTACTTCTAACCTATGCCATAAGCATTCAATCATCATTCATTTTTTTCCATAATAACCATTTTTATAGAACAGTAAACTTACATCCAATCAGATCCTAATTTATAATCACTAATGATGAATATTTAAAATATTTTTGTTTTAAATCCAATGCTCTTGGCCCTTTAAAAGGAAATATTCTCCACAAATTTATATATTCCCTTAAAAAGACACATGTAAATAATTCCTGCTCTAAACAGTTATCTCCCTTTTTCTTTTCCTACTTCCTTAAGGAGCAAAGAAAAAGTCCCCCATCATTTTTTTTATATTTTTAATGGTAATTTTTTATTTATTTTTTTTGTTTTCAACATTTAATTCCACAAGATTTTGAGTTCCAAATTTTCACCCCATCTTGCCCCTCCCCCACCCCAAGATGGCATGCATTCTGAATACCCCTTCCCCTAGTCTGCCTTCCTTTCTATCTCTCCCCCCCATCCCCTTCCCCTTCAATTTTCCTATAGGGCAGGATGGATTTCTGTACCCCATTTCCTGTATTTCTTATTTCCCATGTGAAATGTGAATGTGAAAACGGTTTTTTTTAAAACATGTGTTTTTAAAACTTTAGGTTCCAAATTTTCTCCCTTCCTCCCTCCCCACCCACCCTCATTGATAAGGCAAGCAAGTAAACATAGGTTATATATATGCAATTATGCAAAACACTTCCATAGTAGACATGCTGTGAAAAACTATTTCCCTTAATCCTATCCCGCCCCCCCATTTATTTTATTCTTTCTTTCGACCCTGACCCTCCTCAGAAGTACTTGCTTCTGATTACCCCCTTTCCCAATCTGCCCTCCTCTCTATCATCTCCCTACTCCCTTGCCCCCTTGCCCTCCCCCTCCCATTTTCCTGTAGGGTAAGACAGATTTCCATATCC